GGTGAGCTTTTCCGGGTAGAAAGCTCACCGGAAGCACTTTTTCATGAAAAAAAAGATGGCGGTGCCCAGCAAGCCGCGGACCGGTAGGAGTTGTTCCGCGGACCGGTACCGGTCCGCGGACCGGTGGTTGGGGACCCCTGTTGTAAGGTGAGGACTACCTGTACACGTATTGCTAAGGTGGATCTTTGCTGGACTGATTTGTGGCTTAATTCAGTGGTGGTTTGCTACCAGTTCAGCCTGGTTCGACCCAAAAAAGCCTCAGACGATCAGCTGAGAGGAGAAAGAAAAGCGCAGGATCAGCCCTCCCACCCATCCCTGCACTTTTCTCTTCATTATCCTCTCAGCTGGTGTGTGGAAAGCTGCGCATGCGCGTTAGGTACGTGCACGTTAGGGGCATGCATGTGCGTGCACGATCAGCAAACCAGTACTGGAACAGGTAGGATCCCACGGCTGACTTAATTGATCCGCTTCCTGTGGACATCTCTATTTGCACCACAAACACTTAAGAGGCATGACCCAATCAAAATAAATTTATGAATATTTCAGTTAAAAATACATCGATGGCTATCACTTCAGGAAGGTTAGCAAACCACTTCTACAGCTCTGGGGCTACACCCACCTTCAGTCTGAAGCAGCCTTAAAAAAAGAAGATCTGGGACATGCAAGCGGATCAGTGAGAGAATGGATGAAGGACAGCTATAGGGATTTTGAGCAGCTGGGACATTAAACCCCACAGAAATTATGTGACAGGACTGGAAATAAACAGTTGATGTCAGGAGACTCTCAAATATTATTGAGTTGAATGGGCCAAAAATTCTTATACCTGGATATAAAACACCAGTTAAAGAAAACATTTTAATTTATAGTTATTTCAGCTAAAAGTCATGTAGCTAGTTTAAGAATTTTAAGAGTGGAACTATTTTGTCAAACACACATTACAAATTAGATGACTGTGAAGTAATTTTTTTACGGTACTACAGTTGTATCATATATCATGCATTTGTATTTCCACTATGGTAATTTTCTCTGCTTCAGAATAAACTGTTTTGTGCAATCATTTATGTTCAAAACATTCATGTTCGATGAACTTCTTGTACTGATAAAAACACAACTCATGTAACTCTAACTCTACTGTATGGACGTATCTATCTTGTTTTCTGTGTGTTCTGAAATGTTTTCTCAGTGTAATACCAATAGCTGCAGTCTTGGGACTTCCCATGTAATTTCCATATAAAACCTGCTTCATTTTTTGGAAATTAACTGAGATAGGCTAGGTGTTCATATTAGAGATAGAGCTGAACACAATTCTTTAAATTTTACATAATCATTGGATCCACTTATTCTTCAAATTACAACTTTTAATCTGAAAAGCCATAAATTACATTCCACAATGTGATGTATTAAGGCAATTCCAGTGTAGGAGCTTCATTTGGTCCATCATCTCAGGCATATTTGGAGGTGGTTCTAGTTTTAGATTCTTGCTGTTGTTATCCATTATGACTAGAGTACATCTTTTTAATTATGGAATACTATGTCATTTAGTGTTGTATTCCAAAATAATGATACACCAAAGTGCTGTATCTATCATATTTTGCATTATACATCTTTTATAGTGCATATTCACTAGATTGGGATTCTTCATACTTATATGAAGTTCTAATCTATGAGAACTTGATGAGGTTCTACAAGAGACTAAGAGCAAAATAGAAAAGTTCATTCAAACACAGCCAAATTCTCTACCAGGAAACTGCTGATTTCTGCGTTGTAGCAGCGTGTGTCAATGGAAGTCGTTGCTTCAGAAGATCATCTTGTCAGAAAGAGAAACCCAGGCCTGCTGCTGCTATTGGTCATGAGGTCCACAGCTTGATGTGCCTCTGAGGAAACAGCTGATTCATAAAAACCAGGTCATACTGGCTAGGTGTCAGGTATTCTACCTTCAGCATACTTTGCTTTGCTGGCATCCTGCCATAAAATGTGTGTGTGTGGGGGAGAGAGATTAGGACTGGTCAAGGGTGGATGGCCAGGGGGAGAGGAAAAAACACAGGCTTTGTGAGGAAATATTCAGATCCAGCTTTGCTAATAACTGCTTGACTTTAGTAAATCACTTTAAAAATGGAGTTGAGCTCTGGTGGGATTCAATTTTTTTTTACTACCGGATCTGAGGGCGTGGCTTGGTGGGCATGGCAGAGAAAGGATCCTGTAAAATCTCCACTCAGAGGTGGTATTTGCTGGTTGTCCAAACTACTCAAAATTTCTGCTACCAGTTCTCCAGAACGGGTCAGAACCTGCTGAATCCAACCTCTGGAGTTGAGGATCTTTCCTAAATGTTCAGATTGGGACAAGGGATTTGGGAAACCCCCTTGGATTCATACTTTTACTCTTTCTTTTGCTAACAGGAAAATGTGTGTAAGGAAAATGCAGCAACATCTACTATTTATAATATTTTGCATAAGAGATTATAATTGTACAATTCTAATTTAAAATTCTTAATTTCTCTGTTGAACCTGTAGTTTCCTAACATTTCTAGCAACATTAAGTAAGTTACTGGTAATGATAGATTTCCCCCCCTCCCCCCGTAAAATCTGAATCTCTTGATAATTTAATACATACATTAACTGCTATTCCAGTAAAACCATAGCAGAACATCTATACCACTTTAAAGTGATGGTAAACAGACAATATATTACCTCCTGAGTCACTGAATGATGCATATATATGGTTGTTAAGGGGGAATTGCTTAGGTAACATAGACTTACCCAAGAACAAAATCTGCACCATTTTGCACGAATGTTACATGAATAAATCAGAATGTAATCCAGTGTCTAGAACTTGTAGTGCTGGATCTTCATATATAGGTTCCATCCAGGACATTTAGTTGCCTCTCTTCAAATCTTTGAAACCATTCTTGTAAGAAACCATAATTGTCCACACTAGTGGTGGGATTCATTTTTTTTTTTACTACTGGTTCTGTGGGCGTGGCTTGGTGGGTGTGGCAGGGGAAGGATACTGTAAAATCTCCAGTCAGAGGTGGTATTTGCCGGTTCTCTGAACTACTCAAAATTTCCGCTACTGGTTCTCCAGAACTGGTCAGAACCTGCTGAATGCCAACACTGGTCCACATCATAGCTGGCCAATGGGGGAAAACAGAAGTTGGCCTCCATATCCCATCTCCTTCTTGTCAGTTAATTTATACTGATGAAAAAACAAACAAACAGATGACTGCAATTCCTAGAGAGAATGAGGAAACCACCTGCCCCTAAGGGACACCATGAAGTTCCAAGTGTCTCAAATGGCCAAACAGTAGCTTTCTGACTTGAGACTGGACACTGAGGTCCCACATCAGAGGTGGTATTCAGCAGCTTCTGAGCAGTTCTGGAGAACTGGTAGGGAAATTTTGGGTAGTTCGGAGAACTGGCAAATTACCACCTCTGGTTGGCCCCACCCCATCCTCCCAAGTCCCAGCTGATCAGCTGGGTCTTCTTTTGTTGCCCTGCCCAGGAGAACGGAGCTGGAAAGCAGGTTAGTGGGGTGGGAAGAGAATAGGATTTTGTAGTAACCTTCCCCTGCCATGCCCACCAAGCCACGCCCAGAATTGGTAGCAATTTTTTTTGAATCCTACCACTGTCCCACATTTATAGTAATTCTTCTCCTTCGGATAGCTAGGAAGCAGTGGGTGTGGCTTCACGAACTGCAGCCAATCAATGTTGGGAAAGTATTTTGCATGACTAAATCTAAATCTTGATTATGGTGTTGCTTCACTACATAATTTTCTGGAAGAACCAGGAAGGCAAAGTTACTTGCTCCATTCACTTCTTCCCTTAATATGGTTGAGTGTTCTATGCTGGGTTGCTAATTTTAGGCACGTAAAACTTAAAACTGCCTTGAATTATTTTAGAAGAGGACAATTATTGTCTTAAAAGAGGATAGTCGTGTGTGCTTGACTACGTTGCATATAATACGGTGATAACTAATCCACCCCAGGGCTTAGAAAAAAATAATCATTGCAGGTAAGTTAATGATTATTGGTTATAATGCCTCTATATTTCTTGCCAGGTCTGAATACCAGTTGCTAAGGAACCTGGGATGGAAAGAGCTGTTGCATTCCTACCCTACTGTGGGTTTCCTGTAGACATCTGTTGGATGCTGTGGGAAGCCCCTTTGTTAGTTTATCTTGAGTGTATTTTTAGATTCTAAGTGTCTTCAGCTGGAGGTCTTTCATGGTTGTGCTCTGAATGCATCATGTACAAAGGCAGGCCCACAGAGGGGAGACATAAATAATTTAAGAAAAGTTATTTCACTTGAGTTTCTTTCATATTTGGAAATAGATGGTAACAGGGCAAAAATCCTGTTATAGAGAAAAGACATCAAATTACACAGGACTGATACTACATAGGTGGTGAAATCTCCATTTGTCAGAAATGGTCTATGGGTTGGTGTATGTAGCTCAGAAATAAAATGTTGGATTGTACAGCAATGAACACGAGCCAAATATGGAAAAGCAAGGATATCTGCCTGGAAACCAGGGTGGATAAAATCGATTAAAAATAATAATTAAAAGAATCAGATTAAAAATTGGATTTATTTTTATTTTTATCAAATTTATTTTAATAAAATGCTTTTAGAGTAAAAAAAAAATCTATCTAAAGATAGTTTTATATATAAGATACATTAATAATTTAGTTTCTTCAGGATGAAATGGAGCTTAGTTATGTAGCACGAGGCTGTATATTCTGCAATATTGGGACTGTTGGTGAGTCAACAGCAGGTCAGAGGAAGAGCCGCTGAGGAACAGAGGTGAAATTCAGATCAGTGCGCTCTATTGTGTTCCCTATCATTATCTATGGCTGTGAAAGTTGGACCTTAAACAAGCAAGACAGGAAAAAAATCAACTCGTTTGAGCTGTGGTGGTGGATGAGGCTCCTGTGTATTCCTTAAGACAGCAAAGGTGAGGAACAAGAATGTACCAGACAGAGTGCATAACACTTGACATATTACTAGAAGGAAAAAAAAATCACAAAATTGTTTCTTGCTTATTTGACCATATCCTGCGTGGGAATTCACTGGAGAAAGCAATTATATTGGGAAGAATTAGCAATAAAGCAGGCAGGTTGTCAAAAAATACGGAGGCTGGACTCCATCGTCGAAGCTGACATGAGCCACAACATAGAAAAAAATATCAAATAAGTAGTGCAAGGATCAGAAGATGTGGAGAGATTGACGCACAGAATTATCAAGAATCGGATGTGACTGAATGGGTAACATCATCTTGCTTGCTATTCTACTTTCTGACCAAAGTAACACAGGAACATCATGGCAAAGTGTTTATTTAAATATAAAGGCTATCCCAAACTGAACTGAACTTTGACAATTCAATAGTAGAAGTATGGGAGCAATTTGCCACTAACTTGTTCCAAGTCATTCCCTCCCCCACACTTTCTCCTTTAGACCACAGCACTACGTATTCTTCCGTTCAAGCACTAATCGAGTCAAGCAGTCCAACTCTGCTTCATTTTTGTTTTGAGATCATTTCAAGTTGGCCATACACTTTTATCTAGCTGGGAAACTACTGTCGAGATATAGATCCGCTAGCAATATTTATGTGAAATTGAAGGATCTCAGAAGAGGCTAAGTCTGGTTTGCCATGAAGAAAATAAGATGTAGTACTTTATTGTTCATTCTTAATAACTACAGGGAAAAAGATACATGCAAAATGCTTTAATAATATTTATCGTTATGGCATAAAAATACAGCAACAATGAAACCATAATTATAACTCAATAAGCCCTCTGTTTTATAGTATATTCTTTTAAACAACCAAGAAAACAAATTTTTGTGTATTTCTTTAAAGGAAATAAAGTCACAGTCTGGAAAAGTGGTCTGGAGGTACTTCTATTTAACTGCACCTGCAGATTAACAAAATAAAACAAGAAATAAACCACAAGAATTGGAGAAATAATGTTTCAGTCAAAACAGTTAATCCAGTATCCTGGAAATGATACCTATAACTAAAGGCAACGTATGAAATATTTGTTTTACTAGCCAACATTGATTTAATAATCATAAATGTTTAGACAGTATCATGCATTCCAAAGTAATTGTTTTTCTGCAACTTTGAGACTCCATCTATAAATTTGCACATAAAGCGTTGAAAGAGCTCTAATTAACGGGAACCTCTAGGAAATAATAAAGGAAACAAAGACATTGTCTTAAGATTAAGGATGTATTCTAATGCGAGAACAAGAGCTTAAGCATTGATGGTTGTCCTGAAGTGCAAAGAGATTGATCTTGGGATTGTCCACCAATTATGAAGAAAATTATAATTATTTGATGAAGTCTCTATTTGTGAGTGGTGCAAATAGACTATCTGATCAAAGTAGTTATTTCCAGCAGACAGACTGCCAGAGTAAATATGGAGCACACCAATGCCATATATGTACTATGAAAGGAAAAAGTGGGACCTTATGTAACTGTATTAATTATAGCATTGTCTGAAACAATTTGGACAATATGATATCAGAGGAAACCTTCAAAGACTCTGAATATCTATTCTAATAGTTCTAATTCTTGATATCCTGCAATACTTCTAGTATGAATCAAATCCTTAGATATGAGGATGTGAGGAGATAAAAAGTGTAGTCCTCATATAGCAATGAAGACCTGCATCAGGGAAAGCACAAAGTTACATCGTCAATGAGAATTAACTATCAGTGAAGGAACTCCACAATCTAGGTGGGATAGAAAGATGAGAGCTGTATGACATCTGAACCCAAGGGGACAATGCACAGGTAGGTGGAGGATGACACAGGTCTGCCAGGAAGATACTATATGCAAGAATCTCTATCATACACTGTCTTGCAGTTTTAGTATCGATTCGATTTTTTTAAAAAAATCCTGCCTTCCTCTAATAACATCAAATATCTTCAAGAACTAGAGGTAGTAAGAAAAAAGTTTTTTTAAAAAAACAGCTGACCTTGAATCTGAAGTCATGTAAAATGTGTTATTTGCTAAGAAAGCTAACTACGGTATGACCCATCTTGCCAAGAAAACTGCAGAGACAAATTCAGGCAGTTGCCAGGAATCAACACTTGACCTGAAGGTATTGAAACAAGACTAAATATATGTCAAAATAAAGTAAGAGGACGTGAAGGAAAAAAAATATTTTAGGAAAATTGAAAACTCTGAGAATGGATACATTATGGTTTCTTGTGGTCAAAACAAATTAAGGTGGCTCAGCATAAAGCAAGACTACTCATGCATCATATGTACCCCTATGAAGAATTATGAAAGGTCTAGAAAATTGTGAATGGATTGTGCATAGGTGCATTGGATACCCCAAGGAAGTACAAAATCCTATAAAAATATGTATGACACCACTACAAACTGTAACCTTATGTATCTCAGTTCACATATGCAAGAAGATTTGGGAGTGTAGACCACCTTCTCTGTCCTAATAGAGCAGGGGTGTCAAACTCATGTCGTCACATGACATATGACTTTTTTTCCCCTTTGCTAAACCGGGCATAGGTGTGGCCAGCGTGTGATGCATCCAGCCCCTGGGCCATGAGTTTGACAGCCCTGTAATAGAGCTTCACTCACTCTTTCTGATGGCCTCCAATATAAATCTCTAGAGAACACACCAAATAAAAGCCTTAAATTATTATTTAATGATTCATCCATGACCACTTATTTCTTCATCAATAATGTTGAAAATACACTCACTTTGTCTGATTTTCAAATTCTTGAGGCAAGTCACAGCCAATGTAAACATCATTCATTAGACTGTACTCCAACAGAGCATTAAAGCAGGGATCCTGCCCAAAGGATAAGAGGATTATAAAAGTTGTTCAAACTACTGTACCACAAAATAGCCATAGATATTTCTCTGGTTTATATTCCTTAATATTAGCAGGCTTAAATAAGAATATAACGTTTAGGACATTATATGCAGCTGATTTTCACGTAACACTGTGTTGCTAGGATACTTAACATGGCAGTGTGGGAGCTGAGCTGTAGCAAGCGTAGTCTAACTTCTTATAATTTATATGTAACTAAAGCCTGTTAAAAGTCTTTGCAGGCTTTTGGAACATTTATAATTTCACCGAGATAAATTACATGTTTCCTGGGTTGTTGTTTTTTGAAAGATTTGATTTGGCAACTATCCAAGATGTTCAGCAGAACAACAGTTAATAAAGGTTGCTATAACTAGAAAGTAGTGTTTCAAGATCTGAACTAGCATTTGAAAGCCATAAAGGCAATATGAAAAGATTATTTGTTCATTTCTATAGCACTATTGTTCTCTTAATTATGAAAAGTTAGAAGAAGCAAAATACAACAAAACATGCTATTTAAAATTATATTAGTGTGAATTAGCACTAAACAGACAAATGGGGATCATGGCATGGAAGACTGCTGCTGCAACTGACAGCTGAACATGTCAATTAGTATTCGTTGTACACACAAAAAATATCATTATTAATTAAATTTATATGCTGTTCATCGCACTGTTGCAAAACTAAATGCAATATAATCTACTAATATAGTACCACATTTAGTGATAATGAATAGTATTGTTGCTTTTTGGGGGAAGGGAAAGTTTGTTATTAAAAATGGCATTACGTTTGATTAAATGCCATATAATCTATATATGACATATGTTGATATCAACACTTAGTGACAACAAACATTTTTTACAGGAGGAGACAAAAGTTTACAACTTCAGAAGTGAGGTGTCTGAGATCATTTGTGATAGCATATGTTTCTACAAGTAAACAAGAGTTCAAATGTTGACTTCCTTTGGCTCCCTGCTGTATTTTCATTTAATGAAGTTCAGACTGAGTTCACCATATTTCAGATCTCTTTTCTGCATTTAAGGATTAACGTATTGCTAAGAAAGGCTGAGATGAATCACTAACACATAACTTTTTCCCTGAACTTTAAACTAGAAATAGAGACAGGCAGCTACCAATATCTCAATGAAATTATTCTATTAATGTAATTAAATGAACAAGAATTAGATAATAAGAAATTCTTACTTTGGCAAGCACATGAGGATTTCCCACAACAATGAGCAAAGCCTTGGGTCTGGTAATTGCTACATTAAAGCGCTTTGAATTAGCAAGAAAACCTAAAAAGGGTCTTTCATCGGTAAGTAGAGTTTCATTTGACCGAACCTGGAACGTAAGCACCAACCATTTAATTCTCCCAAATATGTATAGTACTGCAAACAATTTCATAATCTGAAGTTGAATATAGCATAGTGATTAAAATGGTGGACCAGAATTAGGAGAGTTCAAGTCAATTCTGTCTTCAACCATGAAAGCTCACTGGGTGAATTTCAGCTGGTTAGAATAGAAGAATAGAATAGAAATTCTTTATTGGCCAAGTGTGATTGGACACACAAGGAATTTGTCTTGGTGCAAATGCTCTCAGTGTACATAAAAGATACATTCATCAAGAATCATAAGGTACAACACTTAATAATAGCCGTAGGGTACAAATAAGCAATCAAATCATACTAGGAAACAGTCAATATAAATTGTAAGGATACAAGTGACAAAGTTACAGTCCTACAATCACAAGTGGGAGGGGATGGGTGATAAGGAGTGATGAGAAGATTAACAGTAATAGTAGTGCAGACTTTGTAAATAGTTGGACAGTGTTGAGGGAATTATTTGTTTAGCAGAGTGATGGTGTTCTGGAAAAAACTCCTTGTGTCCAGTTGTTCTGGTGTGCAATGCTCTATAGTATCGTTTTGAGAGTAGGAGTTGAAACAGTTTATGTCCGGGATGTGACTCTCTCTCTCAGGTTACTCTCTCTCAGTCCATCCTTCTAACACCAAGATGTTACTACAGGTGTTCTTGACTTACAACATTTAATGATCATTTACTGAACTGAAAAAAGTGACTTATGGCCATTTTTCAATTATGACCTTTGCAACATCTCCATGATCACGTGATCAAAATTCAGATGCTTGGTATTGGTTCATATTTATGATGGGTGCAGTGTCCCCAGACCATGTTTGCAACCTTCTCGCAAGCAAGGTCAATGGGGAAGCCAGGTTCATTTAACAATCAGATTATTAATTTAGCAACTGCAGTGATTCACTTAACCACTGTGGCAAGAAAAGTCGTAAAATGAGGCAAAACTCACATAACTAATGTCACACTTAACAGAAATTTGGGGCTCAATTGAGGACTACCAGTATGGGAAAAAAAGGGAACAAAATATACTATCTGTGCTGCCCTGAACTCCTGAAGGAAAAGACAGGATATTTCCATGATGTAGTAGTGGTTGTGCAGCCTCAGAGATGATTACCATGTACTTTTGAAAAGTTTCAAAGGCCAGAATGAATCATTCTCTTCCATCAAGTACTGCAAAGTGAGTTAAAATGTAAGACCTCACCAACCACAGAAGTCTTGGTCTAGTAGTGTGTTGAGTAACCGAACTGCATCCTAAATAGTCAAAGGTATTTCCCCATTTAAAATGTCTCAAAGGAACTTCGATACAAAGTAATAACTAATGACTGCAATCTTCAGGGTTTTGTGAATTGGTGTAATTAGTACAACCAACATATACTGACTACTACATTTTGTACTAATACCCAGCTTGCAATCTTAAGCACACCGATCAGTTTCACGATGCATCCTCCAAACTGCTAATGAATAATTATGCAGAGGATAGAACCATCAATTTCAAGTAATTGTGACAGCAGCAGTTCAAAGTATCTGGAGGACACCAGTTGCCTCTTCCTGAGCTTCACTAGTCACTTACACATGCACTTTATTCTACCTCGGCTTGCTAATTGGGGGAATGAGATTGGCTTCTGAATACCATATATTCAAGTAGCACTTCACTACGTACTGCTGATATGATGATCACTGAGAATTCTTGTCCCTGAAACTCCTCTACTGAGCCAACTTTAATATCTGATAGATCCACGTTGCGTAAGAGAATGGTGATTTTTTCTACCTAAAATAAAGATACATATTATTTCACAGATAGCATAGGACTCAAAAAATAACATCATGATTTGATTAAAACGATTCAGGTATTGAAACAGTTAAACAAGTCAATTCTGAATTTTATTTTTGAAGGTTTTGAATAGTTTTCTCATTGATGTTACTTTACTACAATGTGAGTTAGAAAATAAGAAAGTTTATTGAAAGCAATTAAAATTTGAATCTACTTAAAACTAGTAAATTAGTTGCAGATCTTCAAATAAGGGTTATTTTTCTTGGTGGAATTATCCACTATTTTTTCTTCTTTTTCATGTTTATTGAATTATTCCAAAATTGGATATTTTCTACCAACTATCAAGGATTGTCTTGGATGGGGAAGCACACTTTTGTATACATGTATTTTTCACTTTTTAGAAGACAATGCATATCTTGTATGAATGAGAAAAACTGAGCTAGAGAAAGCCAGGCTGCACATTAAAACGTCTTTAACAATGTTTCAGATCACTATCTGCCATTAGGACCTTCTACTTGAAACACCGGTATTATATTTCTAAAGAAACAATTTTCTCTATACACTTTTCAAAACTATTTTTTAAGTTAGTCTCAATAAAAGGAAAATCAGGGAATTCATTTTTGGTAAGTTTGTTGATAAATTTATTTTTTTCTAAAAGTAAAATGTGAACCACATCGATTATTCACCAACTAGGAAACAATGTAAATTTTGTAAACAATGTGGGTTATACAGTGTGGGTTACCGTTACACTACTCATCAAATGGATTTGCAATTGGCTAACCCGGGGTATCAAACTCAATTTTATTGAAGGCCGCATCAGGACTGTGGCTGACCTCAGGGGGATGACTGGGTGGGTGTGGCCAGCTTGACACAACTCCCCAAACTGCTGGCATATTTCCTCTTTGCACTGGGTGAAAGCCACGCTGGCCTGATGTTTCCTCTTTGCATTGGGTAGACCGGGCTGAAGCAATGCAGGCCGGCCCCTTACATTTTCCAGGATGACCCCGCAGGCTGGATCCAACCACATTGCGGGCCGCAACCAGCCCGTGGGAATTGTGTTTGAAACCCCTGGCTAACCAACTGCACTCAGCGAATAGTTCTCAATGGAACAATATCTACATGGAGGGAAGCATGCAATGCAGGTTCTGTCTTAGGTGCAATACTCTTCAAATTTTTCATAAATCATTTAGATGAGGGTTAGAAGAGGGAATCAGCAAACATGCCAACGAAATCAAGCTGACGGAAATAGCTAAAACTATTTTTTGCACTGGGTGCCTGCAAAAGCTCTTAACTTATAAGTTACTTTTTTAATCTTTATATTCTTAAATCCTATTTTTTGTCTTTGTTTAATATTTCTAAATATTTCTAAAGTAAGCAGGAGACAATAAGCACAATGTCTTGCTCCTTGTTTCTCACAGGGTATAGATAAATCTCCATTAACAATTTATGCCTTCTGTAAAGTAATTTTTTTTTTCATTTTATAAGTCTCCTCAAAGTACATAAATTCCAAAATTTCAAATAAGAACATTCAGTTCAAATTATCAAAAGTTTTCTCTGCATCTAAAAAAAATAATGCAGCTTGTTTTTCATTGTGCTGTTCAAAGTATTCCAAAATATCCAACACAAGTTCTAGCATGATTTTTTAATTGCCTTTTAATATCAATATCAAACCCAGTTTGATATTGATGAATACTTTCTTGCAAAATTATTTTCAGTCTGGGAAGCTGAAAAATATATCATGGGAACTTCAAAGCCTTTGGTTTATCAATGAAGAGATTCATGAATACCATATCTCTTAACACTCCCCTCCAGGAATGTTTTTCGTGTTCACATTTATAGTCTAATAATGTAACTCAGACAAACAAAACAAATTAACATTAAAATATACTATGCAATTAAAAATACCCAAACAATTATAAAAGGCTGAAGCAGAAAGCTATACCTGCTTTCGATAAGGTGCAACTACTCCAATGTCCTTTTCCGACACTGAACTGTTGATGCCTTTAACAAGAAGGCAACAGTAGCGCATCACTTGAACTGCTTCTGTAGGATTGAACCAAGAAGGATTGCAGCCTTCACGCATTTCCATACCCTAATGTTAGCAAGGCAAGAAATGAAAAACACAGAGAACAATACTATTTCAAATACTTAACTTTATTTGCACAGTGCTTATGTTAATCACAAAAAGTCAAAACGGGCATTTAAATAGCCAGAGCTGTTCCATAAATATTACATTTACCATCCTGAGGACACTCAGTACAATAGTGACTGAACAACACTGTAGTGCTGGAGCAATTTAAAAAAAGGGCTTTAAGTCATTCATTACAGAAACCCCCCCTCTCTGAATGGATTTTAATATATGGTATTTCTACAGAAGAACTGGTCCTTAAAATTAAGCATCTCAGATTTTGAACAGTAATAGTTATTATTCTTTGCTAAAAGGAATATATCCTCCAGCCATTTTCAATTTATTCTGGATAATTTGTTTCCCAACAATAAAAATGTAATATATATTCTGCATGCTTCTCCAAATTCTTTGCACAGAACCCACCCTAATGATTCATAATTTTCAGTAAAAGGAAATTAATGATTTAGTGAGTAAATAAGACGGTTGTGGAGGTGAATACAAGAGCACACAACAGATACAAACTCAATGTAAACTGCTCTAAACTTGATTGCGGAAAGTACAACTTTAGCAACAGAGTGGTCAATGCCTGGAATGCTCTACCTGACTCTGTTCCTCAAACCCTCACTCCTTTGACCTCAAACTATCCACTATTGACCTCACCCCATTCCTAAGAGGTCTGTAAGGGGCGTGCATAAGTGCACAATTGTGCCTACTGTCCCTGTCCTATTGTCCCCATTTATTCGTATCTATTTACTGTATTCATACTCATGTTTATTCTTATACCTATTATCTTGTAAGTGATTGACAAATCAAATAAATTAAAGAATAAAATAATAAAATATAAAGAGTAGATTTAAGAAAAAGTGTCTTTATTCTGGATTCATGCATTGTTATGTTTTGATGATGACCACTTCCCCCTTGTTCTATTCTGTAGGGGCCTTCATCAAATTCATGGAGTCTTTGAATACAATTACCTTCTTTTAGAAGGATTTGGGTGCTATTGCAATTTTTTTAAAAAAATGAGCAGTAATTTCAATCAATGAAAAATAGGATACAGTTAAGCATTTGTATTACTTGTGTCTGCTCCAGAAATAGTTTTAAATTTAAATATCTGTCCCCATCCTTTCTATAACATAATCTTCATTACAAATTAGTAAAAACAGCTTTTATCAGCAGAGTGATATCATCTTCATTATACTTAAGATGAAATGTGTAAAGGCAGAAAGCTAATTAGCTCCTTTTTTACATCTGGTTTTTACAAACTTCTTTCAAAGCAGCTAGAAGCAACATTTAAAATGTACCCGAGAGAGCACTCAATGAGAAAAGTGGAACAGCAGATTGCAAAATTTTCTTGCAAAGATAAATCACAATACATAAAACTATAAAGAAAAGAACATTTATGTTAAATCTTGTATTCAAACTACACGGTATCACAGCAATCTAAATGTGATATGCTTATTGATTTACATACCTTTGTGGATATCTGAGATTTCTAAAATCGATATACTTTTTAAGTATAATGTAACGAACATTGATTTGTTTACATACCCTCATTCCATGAAAAATCAGTGGAAAGCCTTTCTTTGGCAGCTTGTCCCACCCCAACAAAGAGTTAACCACCGAAGGATCAGCACAGACTTCCAGTTCCTTATGATAAAATAGCTTAGATGGCAACGTAAGCAATGCACCATGTGATCTGTAATTCTTCACAAGCTTTGTAATCTGCAAGCATAGAACCAAGACCACAACATGAGAATGAATGTGGCTATACTCAGAAGCATTAACGTTTTGATAGGTGAGTTGAATTCTGTAAAGCGATTACAGAGCATTGCTGTCAAGAAGCTGTAAATGGCTCTCTACTAGTTTACATTTAGGACATCAGGAGGACATTGTTTTCAGTCATATTCTGAGTTACCAGTCTTATGTGGAATTAAAGGGAGTCACCATTCTCCTCTCTCACTCATCACACAAACATCTGGATCCATCCACATTACCGACTGTCCTACACTAACATAAAGAAGTCTTTCCAATTGTGAACTCAGCCTCCATGGAGGAATTAAGCTTGAAAAAAATATTTTTATTTATTTTTCACATTTCTGAACCACCCATCTCTCTGAGAGAGAGAGAGAGAGTCTGGGCAGTTTATGCACTATAGAAAAGTTAAACATTTAAAAGGAAGCAAGGATGATTAAACACTCTTAAAATCAGTTAAAAGGTGAAGGGGCGGGGTAGAGTTCATGGCACCAGCAAGACCCACAGCTGTGGATTCTTCTTGGATTCAGCAATATTAACCTTTGAAAGTATAATAGTACATGAGGGGGGAGCAAAGGGATGATAGATCCAACTACTGAAAATTTTGTTGGCTATATTTTCTTCTCTATTTACAATTAGGAGTCCCTGTGATTCAGCTGCATAACATGTTTTATATGATGCTAATTTTTGCTAACTTGTGTACATGTGAGACTGGATTACAAGTTGTTCAGATCTGAGGAACAGAAACATTGCTCCCGAAAAGTGTTTAGTCAATGTCTCCCATTACATGATTTAGTGGTTTAAAGTTATAATGGTAAACAGCCTGAAAACTGATCCAAAAATAAACATATCTTAAATATATATTTAAACTGGTCAATTACAGCTGAAGAATAGCAATAGCATTTAGGCTTATATACTGCCCCATAGTGCTTTACAGCACTCTTTCGGCGGCTTACAATGTAGAATCCTTATTTACATATTACCTCCAACAATCTGGGTCCTCATTTTACCGACCTCAGAAGGGTGGAACCCTGAGCCAACCTTGAGCCCCGTCATATGATCAAACTCCAGGCTGTGGGCTGACTTTGCCTGCAATACTGCACTTTAACCACTGTGCCACTAGAGCTCCTTCATATGGAAGTCCATATACTGCAGCTCTACATTTAATCAAAATTCATAAGAATATAACACAAATTTGCTATATTAGCAGCAATTTGATACAAACGTCTTAGATTCAGGAAACTTCCACACAAAGAATCTGTCAGTTTGAAAACAGTTCCTGATCACTGCATTTCCCAGTTTCACTTACCAACAGAGGATTATATGATCCACAGGGACCAAAAGTATCATCATCTCGCAGGTACAAAGGGCGATGCATCAGCCTCTCCAACAAAGAGATGTTTAATCCATAAAGCATTGCAATCTTAGATTTTATTATTGGACCTAGTTGCATGGGATCCCCTGAAAGTATGATCTTCAGATACAGAACATTTTTTAAAAAAATGGGAAATTGCATTTCATACAATGCTCTTCATGAATTACATAACAAAAACTTGGAGTTAGATGCCATCAATGCAGAAGTAATACCTATTTCTATTTTTTTTAATCAAAAGTAATTCTTGATATCCAGAGTAGAACACTGTATTTGAGTTACTATTGCATTTGCATAAAAAGAAGCATAATCTCCCCAAGGCAGCATTTCCAGGTTTTCACTTATATAAGATTGAACTAGCAGACAGACTGCTATTGACCAAGAGGTTATTACCCTGATGCAAGTTTTAAATTGTATCTTTTGTATTACTACAGAACATAGAAAGGAGAGGAATAATCTGGTTAGTCTATAGTAGTAACGTCTAGAAACTCATTCTCCAGGGGCCTCATCTGGCCCAGAAGCACTCCATACAAAAGACAAACACTCTCAACAGAAATTCTATCATCTGAGGCAAACGGAGGTCAGATGAAGGTATTTGGTGTCTTCACTGGAAAAACAGAAGAAAAAAAAATCTCCCGTGTAATTGTGCCACCAGAAAAGGAGGCTGGTAACCTTGTCAATAATGCTGTTGCAGGACACCACTGTTTCCTATCCTGCTGAAAGGCTCTGTACCTCTTAGCTATTTCAGCTTTGATTGCCAGAGACCAGAATCTCATCACCAGTCAGGACTGGCATTTGCTTTGGTGTAGAGCAGGGGTGCGGCCACGCTGCTCCCCCCCCCACGAGATCAAACACAACCCTGATGCGGCCCTCAATGAAATCGAGTTTGACACGCCTAGTGTAGAGAAAGCCTAACCTTCCCACTTTGCTGATCTTCTTGCCTGTAGTTTCCCTTACTTTTCCCCAACCCCTTCTTCGCTTGTTTCTCTCTCCCTCTATAGTCAGTTGCAGATCCTTCCTTCTCCCAGATCCTCTCCCATCGTTAGAACTTCCTTTACATCCAGGCCTCCCTCAACAACAGCAGCAGCCAGTTAAGCCCTCCCCTGGGTTGCCCTGGCCTGCTACTGCTGTTGGTATTAGCAGGGATGCTCTTACACAAGAATGGTGGAGCAGGGAAGAGAGAAGAGGAAGGAAATCCATACTTGGCCTGGTAGGGAGATAGGCAGTCAACAGGGAAGGAAAATTCCTTTCATCTTCTCTTGCTCTTTTGACAGCAAGAGAAGGAGACAACAACGTTCTGGCCAAATCCTGAAGTATGGGAAAAGGAATACTGTGGGATGATCAGCAGTTTTAAAAACAGCTTGCTCTCATTTCCAGAATGAAAGGAAATAACATTCTTAGGGATGTGGGATCAAGTCCATGATTAGTCCTGCAATGGGCAATACAGGTAGTCCTCGATTCACAATCATTCGTTTAATAACTGTTTGAAGTTATAACAGCATTGAAAAAAGTGATTTATGACACAAATGACCATTGTAACATTCCCATGGTCATGTGATCAAAGTTCCGATGCTTAGCAACTGGCATGCATTTATGACGGTTGCAGTATCTCAGGGCCATGGGATCACCTTTTGCAACCTTCTGACATGACAAGCAGACAGTTTAGAAAGCCAGATTCACTTACCAACCGTGTTACTAATTTAACAACTACAGTGATTCATTTAACAACTGTCGCAAGAAAGGCTGTAAAATAGGGCAAAACTTAACCATTTTATTTACAACACAAATGTTCGGATCAATTGTGGTTGCATTTCTCTGCATCATTAGAAGTTGAGATGATTAAAAGATTTACTGAGGATTCAGTAGCATGAGCACCTCATGGTGATTATGAAGGAGTTTTAATTAAATAAACTTTAAGATTTAAATGGCCCGTATTTTGGTATAAGCTAAATCCTTTGCCCCCACAAGTGAATTTTAAGATTATCCAAGGCCCTCGTCCCTCAGTTAACTGAATAACTACTAGACAAATACTCATTTTACTAATGTCCCACAAATTATGATAGCCCACCATTGATATGACCATTTCATTCAACCATTTATAATTATTTTGATATTAACCAGCCTTGGGATTTTAAAGAAATGAGATGATATGCTCCTGTCTAATTTGAATTGCTACAGATTTGTTAATTGTATTTCTTTTGCTGAGGTGCTTCTTGCTCTGTTTTAATAGCCATCTTTAAAAAAAATTGAAGAATGTAGACAGTGATAAACTTTTATGGTGCATTAAAATCCTGCAAGAGACTGGAATGATAATATATTAGATTAATGCATTTATTGGTTATTGCATTTGCAATGTGCTTTATATGGAGCCACATTTGAAGATTACCCAGAAACTCAAAAGTAATGCAAAATGCCACTTTGGTCATAGTGCACGTAGATTGTAGGTACTGTTCTGGTCACCAAGTGGTTCTGAGTGCAAATTTGAGTTTTAGTTTTGAACTTTAATGCTCTGCATGGTTTGGGTCCCAGGTCCTGCAGCATAGCCTTCTCCAGTTAACACCATCCTACATGGTGAGTTAAACTGGTGGCAGAAGCTACCTATTCTTGGTGTGTAAAAGGTTAGTTTGGTGGAAACCTGTTGCATGTCTGTTACAGAAACAGACATTTCCTTATGAAACGGTTCTTTCTGAAGTCAAGTCTTCTCTAGGCTTTGAATTTCTGTACAGCAGTGAAAATGGAGGCTATTTTGAAGGGGTTTTCAGAGCCATGCCAGCTACACTGATGAGTGCCGATGACTAATGTGTCTGGATAAGGATTACTGCTTTTATTTTACTACTCCTGTTTGATAGACCGCTGTATAGTTTTTCTTGTGTACTGATTGCATTTATTGTTGTAAACTGGTGTGAGATTTAAGACTGGATTGCATATAGATAAAAATGATAAAAATATAATGAAGGGCAACTTGGATGGAAGGGATTGTAGAGAGAAGCAGCATATATAAAAGATAAAACTATCCCACCTGAACCAAATAAATGTTATGGCCATGGGCAAGACCTTTACTATGGAAAACCACTGGCATTCATATTCAATTAAGAGTTTCCCCTCTTCCTTTTTAAACAAAACTTAAGAGATATGAAAACTGAACTTGTGACAGTGCAGTCCATTACCAAGATATGGATGAATAACGTTTGAAACAGGTATGGCTGTTTTTCTAGTAATAGATACATTAGATCAACAGCATGCAAGCAGTATCTACAAAGAGAATTTTTTTCCTCCTTGAGAACATCAAACAACCTCCACACAACAGACATAAACACAGTTAGATACAATCAATTAGATATAATGAAAACTTACATACTTGCCCAGTGTCTTCTGAAATCAATCCCAGAGGGATCAGGCTTTCTGGTTCACTTGCCTGCCCTGCTTCATCCACAAATACATGCGTGAAATGTCCACACCTAATATTGTGGAATAAAAATTGGAACTACTTGTTGTATGCTCTGCATTCTCAGACATCATTTCAAAAATAATGAAGATGGTATCAAAGTAACATTGGTAAAACGAAAGTATTTACCTTCAGTTAAGCCCATGATAGATTTTTACAAGTTTTTAATGTTTCCAAGAACACTGAGGTTCATAGCAGTATTTTCAGTTGCCATATACCAGTGTGCAACCTCAATGTAAAATAACAAGGGATGGGTAATTATCCAATTTTGATTGTGGGATTCTGAGAATGTCTTTGTATATCCAGATTCAGATGTATTGTCGTCTAATATAAATGTATGACTGAGCTACAGTATGAATGGATAAACATCTGCATTTTATCTCACAGCGGCAATTATAGATTCTACTGGGAGGTTAATTGTGAACTTTTACTTGCAATATATGCCTATTACATATTTTTAATGACAGCATGAATCTTGAAAGAAACTCTTCTTCAATTACCCGGATCTTTTCTCACTTGGAGTTACTCCAAATATTTATCAGCTATTGCTGAGGCAGTTTACTGCCCATTTACCTAGTTCAGGTAATAGGTTCTTGCTTTCCATTTCCTTCTCTATAGGAAATAGCTAATATTTTTATATCCTACGTTTCCTGGAATAGTCAGAAAAGCTTACACGGTACCTTATTCCTATCTGATAGAACATTCCTGCACTGCTGCAGGTCACAATAATTATTCGAAACTGAGATGCTTCGTGAATATCTTCTCCAGCTTTGCAGTAACACTTTATTACCTCATTAAGACTCTGCAATACAAAGAAGCATGTGTTATTAATATGTCTTCCATCAGTTACACATTTTCAACTGGAGACACGAGTCATTATTTTTCAATGTATATTTACATTATACTCTGAAAGGAAGGCAATGCCTCTCATACCAATGAAGCATCCCTAATTCAATTTGTACCCATCTATCAATTTAATTTTGAAAACAAGTGAATGAGATCCTCCTCTCAAATATTTTTGCTCTGAAGCACTATGTCCCTTCTTGATAATCTGGGTTCTTAATACATTTTTGTCCATATTCTCTATTAATTTTGACCCCTTTGCATTCCATTAGATACTTGTTTTTCTACTGTTCTCTTTTTACCTTTCATGGTTGAAATGCTTAGAGGAAGTTTCAGCATCTGCCCTCTGGAATAGTATTATACTTAGACACTCTCACGTACACATAGACATATGCATACACAGAGCCACAAGGAGTTCAAATAGGTGTAACCCTGCTATCTTTTAAAATGGCCTTGAAGGGGAGGGGAATAGGTGCCATCACTTTGCTTCCCTATTTTCATCATCTTTTATTTGTTCCAGGTTTTGTACAAAATTGATTTATACATCAAGACGTTACAATATTTCTCAGTACAAAATGACATAAAAAATCACTGTGTAAAATTGTACCTTTACACAGTGAATCCTTATGTTATTAAGTTGTATCTGCTGTTTTTAAGACTACAATATATTCATATCACTCTTTACTTTCATTCTTTGTAAGTAGATTCTGCAACAAAATTGTATAGGTGTAATGCAATTATGAACTAGTTTCTGTACAGGGTTTCTTTCATCTGGAAGTTCTATTGTTCTGAAAATATCCAAGTCAAATAAAAATACATATTTCTTCTACTAAACATTTAAACCTGAAGCATTTTCTGTTGTGATGGAAACCTATTCCCTCAACCCTTTCTATATCTTGACTCCCACTTTTCTTATGCAGAAACTGACATATTGAACCTAGGATTTAAGATCCAATCTTTCAGAAGATATTATATTCAACAATTCAGGAGGGAGACATTAGCAAGTAACATTTTCAGATGGTTACAGAGTAACTTGGAAAACTAAGCACTATTCAGTTAAAACAAGTATAATTCTGAGCTTCAAATGAACAATTTATGTAATGATGACACAGAACGACTCAAAAGAGCAATGAAGTCTTTTAGATACATTTTTACCTCTTCATTTCTGTTGACTGCATTAACTCTGACCATAACTCCTGGTCTTAACAACTTGCTGTCATGAAGTCGTAAACAAATAAGATCTGTAGCGCTGTTTGATGGTGCACAGACTAGTATTCGGCTGCTTGGTAAACTATAATATATCTAATTATACAAAAACAAGCATTCGTATATTGTACTGTTAACTGATGCTCTTATCAGTGAATAGTTTTTAAGTTTTTAAGAATTATATTGAACCAATTAAATTTCAACATTATTTTATTTCCATGCTAGTGCATATATTTACTAGCAGTATTGAAGACTGAAAACACATTCACAATATTGAGAATATTTCAGTAAGCTACAATTATTCACTGATGCGTTATTTCTCCATATTGATCCACCATAAAAAGTTACAATTTCCTGGGAAACTTCCGGTTTGTCGGCTTCGCGAGCGGCAGGGATTTGCGACTCTGAGCGATCCCTGCCGCGCTAGCCGCTTTTGGTGCTCCGATCCGGACGGGTCCGGAGCTAGGCTACCCTGCAGGGGTAGCTGAAGATAGGGGGGATCCGGAGAGGGGTTTGGGGGTGTTGCAGACCCCCTCCCCGGCCGGCAGAACCCCCTTTTCCCAAGACGGTGCAGCGGCGGTCCGCAATGGCCGCCACAAAGAAGCCGGCAGCTGGGCAAGTATGCGCAGGAGGAAGAGGAGAAAGCTTTTGAGAGTGAAAGTTTTCTTGGTTGATCCAGGACTCTAAGATACATTTAATATAATTCCTGGAAATGATGGCTTTTTGGATGATTCTTTCCACAAGAGAAAATAAGCGGCAATTTTGAGGTGCTGAAAGGAAAGTTTATTCTCCCTCCCGACGGAATTAATAAGTGGATATTGAGAAACCTGTTTTTTTTCAGGTAAAACTAGATTTATGGGATAAGTCGGAAGGGAGAGGACAAAAAATATATCCATCTGGTTTGATTTTGTTGGAGGAGATGCCTTAAGGATTTGAAGACAGAAATATAACTCCAATAAGGCTTTAAAATACAGATTTGGACTTTCTTTTTTCTTTTGTCTGATACTACCCCTGGAAGAGAAAGGGAGAATTTTGTCTTGGCTTGGATTGAGTGAGGATTGTGGATTTTGGGACTGTTTTACTTTTTTTTTGAAATATCTTGGTTGGTGTAAGAAGAAAGAGGGAAAAAAGAAAAGAAAAGAAAAGATCTATAATGGCTTTTTCTTTTGAGGAACTGAGGGAAGAATATGAGCAAACAAAAGCAGCCGGTAAAGATGGTATGGAAAAAGCCTTCCTATTTTTAGAAATGGTGCTGGTTAACTATCAACAAACAATACAACAGATGGAGGCAGAAGAACAACAAGAAGAAGAAGACGAAGACGCCATCTTTAATGAATTCCAAAATTTAACTAAGAAAGAAGGAAGGAAGAAAGCGAGGAAAATGAAGGACTTAAGATCTAAAAAAACATTTAAGAAAGAGAAAAATAAGATGCAAAATAAATATAATGATAGTAAACAAAAGAAAAAGGGAACACAACAGAGAAGGGATGCCAGCAAGGCAGAGGCTAGAAGAAGGTGGAGTAGGAAGATTTGGTGGGGGAAGAAAGAAAGAGGAAAGGCGGAGAAAAGCCACAAAGTTTTGAAATTAGATGGGAAAAGAAGAATTTTTTTTAGGGACAAAGGGTAAAGTACAATTTCCTTAAAAAAGATTTTGCAAGGTACATAAGATGGTATTGTAACATCTGTATTAGAAATAGAAAATTAGAATGGCTTAAGAGTTAATAAGAAATTAAAATGTTGAAATGTTTAATAATGATTGATTTTAAAATTTAATAAAATATTAAAAGGAAAGGCAATGGGAATGTTATAAGATTTAATATTTAGATTTATTATTTAACTATGTATTTAATCATTTTGGATTTATTACTCTGTTTTTATTGTTATTAAAAAAAAAAATTAGTAGATAGAATGTACCAAGCAGAATCAGATTGGGTATTAGGTGTTATTTTAAATGTTAATCTAATTAATTTAGGGGGAGGATAGAAAGGCATCATACTCTGATTAGTGATTTCAGGAGAAATTCTTTTTTTTTTTCATTATAAGGAATGAGATAGAGGGATAATAAAGAATGGGCAAAAGATACAAATATAATGATTTAAATTAAGATGGATTAAATAAGATAGAATTATGAAGAGTGAAATGTGTGGAGAAGTTTATATAGAAGATATAGAATGGTAAATAAAATAGGTAATGATATGTAAGATGAGCATGAATATAATTGAAGCCCATATAAAGAGGTACCTGGGGCCAAGTTACTTTCCTAAAAGATTTTTTATATGTTTGTTTGTTGTGTGTTTATGTTTTTGAGAGTATTAATAAAACCTTGTAGAAATACAGAATGAGAATAATGGTAATCAAGTCAGAAAGAAATAGATGAAATAATAATAGTGAAATTGAATAAGAGTAAAGAGAAGTAAAGAGAAATTGGATAAGAGGTATTTTTATGCTCATATGGAAATGGCTTAAAATAGAATTGTATTGTATAAAATAAGGTTTTATCTGACTTGTAAAATTTATAATGGAAAAAGGTTCAAATATGTAATGGTTGATGATGATTTGTTTGTCTTTGAAATTAATAAAATTTGCTTTAAAAAAAAAAGTTACAATTTCCTGTAGCATCCTTTTCCAAGTATATACCAAAGTAGCATTCAAAGCCACATTAATTATTCTCATGTTATTTTAATGTAGACAGAAAGGGTCTTGTTATTTTCAAAGCATTCTCATGCATATTAAAACTCTGTTATTTGCAGATGAGAAAAATCCATTGGCAATTCCTATCTTCCACAGCAACAAGTAATTCATTCACTAAATGTATTCCCAAACAACACAGGTAAGTAATGTTTTAACGAAGAGTTAACATTAATTAAAAATAGCAGAGACAAGAACCAGTTACAATTCACTGTTACCTGCAAAATTGCTTCAATAATTGTGACAGTTTTGCCAGTTCCTGGTGGCCCAAATAGGATATAAGGAGTTGGACGACATTCACCACTAAGAATCCTTTTAACTGCAAGTTTCTGATGCTCATTCAGCAGAGGATTGAAAAAGTCACAGTGTTGTGTATTCCAAGTTGGAATTCTATTAACTATATCCAAAAGTATATAATTTAATGAACATCTTATTATGGTGCACAGAATTAAAAAAAAACAACAAACTAGTATGTGGAAATGTCTCCAAAATTATAATAACCTTCAAAATACTGTATTTTTCAGAGTATAAGAGTATAAGCTCTTTTGGGGAGGGAAAAAAAAATCTGCCTCTGCCTCCCCTCAATTTGCCTCCTTGTAGCAAACAGCAAACAGCCTGGTCAGCTTCAGCACAGCCTAAATAGCACAAGCAGCTAACTGTTGGATGGATTGGCTTCCTGACGATCAGCAGGGATTGCCATCTGCACCCCATTTTTGGCCTCTGCGTGCCGTTTTTGGCTTCCGCACGCCCCATTTTCTGATCCCTGCTGCCCGGAATGTTCTGAAAATGGGGTGCGCGGAGGTTCTGATCCCCGCTGCCCGGAACGCGCAGAGGCAAAAAATGGGATATGGAGCCCAATCCAACCAACAATCAGCTGTTTGCTAGCAGCACAGTGCTAATCAGGCTGTGCTGAAGCTGACCAGGCTGCTTGCTGTTTGCTGCAAGGAGGCAAATGGCTGGGAGGCCAGCAGGTGGGCAGTGCTTCAGCAACGTTCCTGTATAAGATGCACAGACATTTCTATCCACTTTTTTTGGGGGGGGGTGGGGGAGTGCATCTTATACACCAAAAAATATGGTACCTATCCATTTAAATAAGTAACAATCAAGTATACATTATTTGCCCTTTGATACAGCAAAAATCAACAAGGCATTTAAAATGCACCTTCCTCTAAACCACTTTATATTATCCCAACAAAATGATACCAACTTCTTTGTGTGGCTGTAGTATCAGTATCAGAAACAACAACTGCTTTTTCATTTTTTGGCATTCCTTTTTCCATTTTTATCCTTTCTTCCTGAAAGCAGCAAAACACGAAAATCAACATTTGTAACGTTTCATTCAATCCACTTTAATAAAGTGACAATTTTAATGTAACTTAAAATATTCACAAGCAGATTCTAAAAAAGTTACTAAAAAACTTATCATTGTTAATGTACATAAATACAGCGTTCATATGAAAATACTGTAGGCCACATGTAATCATTCTGACATCATTGAGGTTTGTTATTGATGCCACTGCTTCCAAGCCTAGAGAAACTAAATCAGATGCTATTGCTTGTCAAGACATATGCGCTCCTAAGGTTTTACTTAGGAATTATTAAGTATTTAAGATTCTACTCTTCAAAAAAGGTCCTAACTTTTCTGCTACTGCTAAATACCGATTACCAGCAGATTGCAAGGTACAATTTAAAAGCTGGCCACCACCTTTAAAACTTCGGGTTGTGTGCCTATTACAGCTTCTCCCTAATCATCTCACAGTTGGACTGTTGCAATGAGCTCTACCAGGGGCTACCCTTGAAGAGCATTTGGAAGCTACAGCTGCTGCAGAGTGCAGGGGAGCGAGCAGTTCTTTGGACCCCAATGGTGGCCCATGTGGCCCAGGAGCTGCACTGGATGCCTGTTTGCTTCTGGGTGCAATTCGAAGTGTTGATAATCACTTTTAAAGCCCAACATGGCATAGGTCCAAGCTACTTAAGGCAGGGGGCCCCAACCCCCAGCTCATGACTGGACTATGCATGCACGTGCCCGCCAGTCCGCCACTTGCATCAGTTAAGCTGCGTGCATGCACAGTGGCCTGTTGCTTGTGTGGCCTGGTTCCCCTCTCCCCCAGAACTGGGCCACCAAGCCACAAAGGTTGGGGACTGCTAACTTAAGGAACTGTTTCATCCCACTGAGATTGGCCTGCCCCACCCATGCTGGCAGAGGGGGCATGCTGCAGACCCCATCAGACAGGGTATTCTGGCTGGCAGGGTCTAGAACAGCCTTCTCTACCATTGCACTTGGCCTTTGGAACATCCCCCCCCCCCCGTTCTGACCCAGGCTTAGCAGAACCAAGAAACAGACTCTCCTTGTCCCGAAAATCCTCTCTTTATTTAGTTACTGTGAGTTCATGGCATTCACACACAGAAAAGACCCGGCAATAATCGTCCCCAGGGTTAATTGCAAGAACAGATCTTATCAGTCCTTGGATACTTGCCAAGCTGAGAGCTTCCAGTCGCAAAGCTGCACATTAAATACCTGGCAAGGAGTCTCTGTGAGGCATGAACTCTGAGAAGCAAATCTTCCAAAAGAAATATGAACTAAGTGTCTCCTGCAACCACCACACCTCTTTTGCTTCTATTTATTCCCCAGGGAGGGGCCATTCAGCATCCATGTGTGCCTTTCCTTCCGAGTTGGCTGTTCTTGTTCCTGTTCCTTGTTACCCCTCTCCTGACAGTTCTGTGCATACACACATCTGGAACAGGCTCCAGCTATTCTTCTTCTCCACTTATCTCCGACTCCATAGGCAGCTGGGAAATGTTGGATGGCCCTTGCCCTATCTCTGCCTCCGACGCAGAGCACCCATCAGAGCCTTCCCCAGACTCCAGGACTGACCCAAGTTTCTCCCCATCCTCCTCACTGTCTGAGTCTGCTGCCAGGAAGGCCACAACACCCCCCCCCCCCGACTGAAGTCCACTCCAAACCTCCCGACCTTCTGCAAGAGCCTAAAGATCTAAGTCTACTGGCCGGTTTGGGGCTCCAAAGGAAGGGTTTCATGTTGGGTGTGGTTGGTAGATTAATATCAGATCCCACTCCATTTATCCTACTCCCTCTCTTCCCATCTTTTAGCTATTCTATTCTGTATTTTTATAATTTTGTAATATTTTATTTATATAATTTTATTTTTTAATATTGTTAAGCCTACCAGAGTTAAGACAGGGGGCAAATAAATTGGATACATATATAAATTAATCTCAATATGTGGATATCTTCAGTACTCCCTTATCTTAGGGACATGCTGTCCACCCATTAAATCTAGAACAGAAATTTCTCTCTGAGCACTAGCCCCTGGCAAATGTCATCTTGGAGGTCAATCTTTTCTGCTACTGCCCTTTTCTCTGGAACAGCATTCCTCCAGAGATCAGGCTGTCTTCCAGATAAAGATACTGATCTATCTTATCTTGGAAGGGAGTATGTATCTGGTGCTCAATTTATTGTTGTTGTTAATATTATTATTATATATTGTGCATGGCTAATTTTATTACAAGATAAGGTAAATCTGCTCTGAGTAATTAGGATTGAAGCAACATGCAAGACTAATAAAATATAGTTGAATAACATGTTAGCTACAATGGCAAATGAACACATTTCACATTTTTTTTACAAGCAAGCTGGTTAAAGACCACAGCAATAAATAAATAAATGGAGGGGTAGATTAGGGGTAGGAGCTTACTTTAGATTCTTGCGTAACACTTTGTTTTGGAATGCTGTAAGAATATTCTGACTCATGCTGCTGCTTAATGATTTGTGGTGATTGCATAGTAAGAACATCAGGAAACAAAACTTTGAAATAAAGAGCAAAAAAGAAGGAAAAATAAGAAGTTAATAGAAGCTATAATTGTAGAAGATGCTAAAATGTTTATTTGTAAGGTCCAACAATAACACACTACCTCAATGTACCATGTCTACTGAAATAGTCACAATGAAAAAAAATCTAGATTATTACAGTTTTGGTAAAAATAAACAAGTAGGTAAGACATATACCCTTTGCTCCTAAATGGATGGCTTGTTCTAATGCATGATGGCATCTCCTGGTTGTTATCCTGTGAAAAGTTCAGAAAAAAGGCTAAAACATTATTTCAAGAGATTAAAACAGTAAACCTGACCAATATATTATGCTTATGACTGCTGTTATGTATGTTAGTAGGAAAACATGCTTAAATCCATTAAGTGTTTGCTTGGATTTCTTGGCTTAGCAGTTGCAAAACATACCACCTATCCAAAACACCATTATTCATCATTTCCGTAAATTTGGGTGGATGGAGGAATGTTGTTATCTTAAAAAATGCCTGCAAATGGCTCATTATTAGAATTGGTACCAAAAGATCCATATTAGTACTCAAAAGGTTATATGAAGTATTTGGAATCTTATATTAAAAATAAATTAACAAAACAGTTGTAATTAAGGAACAAAAGCTGTGAAATGGCAACAAAGACTCTGATTGTTACAATATTGCATCTGTTTGATGTAAAGGTGTCTAAAAGACAGCACTTCTTCAACTTTGCTGCAAATACAATACTCTTGTGACATTACTGAAAGTGTGTCCAAATTCACATGCTTTGAGTACCACTGTTAAAAAGCTATGGATATTTAAGCAGTTTGTGTTTCTCGATTCTGCATATTAATAAAAACACCTGGCAATCATTGTTACTATTACAAACAGAAGACCTAGAATCCTCATTTGTCATCATAATGCCTAAGTGGACTTGTCCTTTTGCTCCTATGGAATTATAAAGACTTATCTTAAACAAAAGCTGGAAATTCACCAAATGCCACATTTAATTACTATTGGAGGCGGAAACATTCTGTGTTTGTGTTTTTAGAGTTATGACTGTAACCTGAGCAGGAATCAGTGCAGTTTTTACAATCATAATAGAAAAGAGTTATTTAAAAACTAGCTCTATACCTGTGCTTCACTACGAAACTATGTGATCGGGCTTAGTTTTTGGGGAGGAAAATAAGGGGGAAAAATTGTGCCTCTGCCTACCAGTATCCATCAGGCTAATGTCCTGTCAGTGTGTGAGAGAGTTAGGGGCTGTTTGGAAACTGAAACAGTATTTGCTGTGTGAGCAAGGAGACAGCAAGGAGCCTGGGCGTGCCTTAGCTCAACTGTTCTGTACTAAAGCTGCTTGGTGTTGTGAAACTGAAATTCCTCTCCTCTGCTTGTGTTTTGCATTTGGAAGATATTTCTTTTCAGGTGGGGAGGAGTAGAACTCCTTAGCATCAGAGAGTGTTAATAATAATATACAAAATACTAATGCTCTGATGGTCATTTTGAAAAACCCTTTCTTAGTGAGCACCTAGAAGAACATATGTGCCAAATTTTAAGTTTGTGGGCTTTACGGTTCTGGAGATTTTGTGATGATGCTTTGTTTGGGTATTTTCCCACGTCATTGTAGTTGTGCTTTTAAAGTTGTAGCAACGTTTCGGCAGAATCTCATCTGCCATCATCAGGCTTCTGTATTGTGTTCATCTGCGAGTCAGACTTTTACAGTTGTTTCAGTTTTAAATTTGCGGCTAGCCTACTGCTGTGCCAGAATGGTTTTTTCTTCATCCTGATTGGTTGGGAGTCTTGGTCTGTGTTTATTGGTCT